TCTGTTGGACCACTTTTATTTGGAATGAGTATAAATATAGATCTCTTACAATTAGGTGGGCAAGTAGATTTCTTAGTACAGGTGAACACATTCAGGATTTCATCTGTTTACCAAAACAACTGCTGTGTCATCAATGTGGTCTGTGGCCTTATACTACTGGATCTGTTTTAATTAGTATTTTCATTGTACAAATACATTTTTTCACAGTCATTCATTTACATTTTATTTCATTCATTTACATAGTGGATTGTTTTTTCACTCCCTTATAATCATCCCACCAACAACTACTTTTGTGAAAATTTGTAAACCAGCTACTTTATGTCTCATGTCCTTTTATCCTCTTTTTAGATAGCCAATTGCTGTTTCCCCAATCCCTATTGTACTCTGAAGAAACAAGTGTGTTCCTTTTGTTGAAGGATCCTCTGTTCAACTTAAAAACTTGGAGCATCTGCCTCCTTAAGGGTCATTCAGAGCTAGTCATCAGGTTCCAGCAATCAACCCTAGATCACAGGATAGATCATCTTCACTTCATCTAGTTGTGTTCTGGTCAACTCATCCCCAGCCATCTGTGGCCCGGTTTAAATAGGTTTCATCTGCACACTCAAGTACTACTGGTTCTTGATTTTATCTCTTGAAATAGCTGAGCATCAACAGAGTCTCACTTCGGTACAATGACTGTGTATTCCCTTCAACTTCCTTTGATGCTTCCTGTCCACAGAATCCTTCCATACTGCAACTCAAAGACTTGAATCTTTTTTTGAGGTTCAGAAATGCCAAGCATGTCAAGAGGCACTCTTGACAAGTGGAGTGGGGTGGAGATGGGATCTGTATTTAAGTATAAATGCAGTAATTAATTCACTTACTATCATTAGTTATGAAATTCACCATTAAAAGGAGTGGTATAAAAAAATGTCTACTTCAGGTAACATCTGGGCTGATGCTTCAACATGCAGTCTGAGGTTACGTGATGTGCAGAACAGCCATGCTTAGAACCTCCTTTCCACAAGTTCTGTGGGTGGTTCTTTGTAGCTATGAATGTGTCGCAGACTATACATATTTAATACTAAAACTCACAAACAAAAGGAGACTTCTAAAAACCACTGCTCATATATAATATTCTTTTATCCTCTACCTCACTATTTTAATGTACCCATAGAAATTATAAATGGACCTTTTAAAATCTTTGTCTTCTACTGGTCAGAAAGAACTGAAGCACAAGCAGGAGATGCTTTGTGCTGAAAAGGACACCGAACCCCACCCACCTATGTGCCCACACAATTCTGAGAAGCACAAGACCATAATATTAAGCCTGCTCCACTCCTTTCCCAAAGAAAACAGGCTGCATTTCAATTTTTCTCTTGTGCAGTGCCTAAGGTGTATCCCTGACTGCAGAACTGGTCTGTACACAGCCCCAAGTCCTGGCAACACTGCTCCCAACCAGGGTGGGGCTCCTGAGTGGGTGACGTAGCTCCACACTGGTAGGACATTATGGTGTGAGACTTGCCAACTCATTCTCTCATTCTGACCAGGTGCTGCACAGAACTATTCATATTCCAGGAACTGCTTGTGATAAAACAGCAGATATCTGAGGAGGCAAAAATGAAAAAGTATGCTTACGTTCTGATTCATGTATGTTAAAATGGGCCTTCCTACACAAAGATGCTATTGCAGTTGTCCTTCATCGGTGTCTACAGAGTTTAATTTGCCGACTAAATTCTCATTCCCAAAGGTGGAAAGATTTGTAAACATCTAAGTCAGACTCTCCTCTCTCCCATGTTCAGGTTACTCTGGACTTTTACCCTCATTCATTTATAAAGAAGTGATTAAATCTAGCCATCTACAATGTCTCTGGGCTGTGCTCCCCTCTTATGACTGCCACTGCCTTTGTACCAGGACAGCAGCAACGGATCTTCCCGGGGTCCCAAGGGGATCATCCTTTCCTTAAGTCAGCAAAGAATGGAACAGGAAGAACTGCTGGAGACTCAGCACTCTCGGTTCACAATTGTGGTTCAAAACAAATAGCTGTCTGGATACGCTCCCTGTGAAGCAGGGTACCCAACAGCAGGGTGACTGTGGTCAGCTGTGGTCTCTCTTGTCCAAAGATGGCAGAGGCTGGCATCTCGCAGAGTAAGTGAAGGTGAGTATTTGAGTGATACTCAAGACAGACCTCATTTCATGCACACATATGACCCAAGGAAGTAGCTGCTCATTTGGTTTCCCCCTTGGAGGCCTATGGACCTACCCCTCACTGTCTAGCACATCCTTGATGCTGGCCTTGGTAATGATGGCATCATCACACTTGAACCACTGGTCCTTGTGCTGCCGGATGAAGCTGGTGTAATGGCCACTTTCTAGGGTCCCTTGATGGTTAACAACTGCAAACAAGGAGTATCTGTGTGAAGAGGAAGGGGTTGAGAGAAAAACAGGAAAGTTACCCAGTTTTATTAATCAAAAACTGTACCTGAAGAAGTTCGTTCATGAGTGAAGGGGTGAAGGGATGCCCCACCCCTAACTCGTCAACACCTGGGATGTAAAGCAGATGTACAACAGCATGGCTGCATGGCAGGCGGTTCCCCGAGAGTCTAGACTGCCTGCTGCGTTTACCCAAGACCACCACACTCCTACAGAGCAAGGACTCCTCCTATTGCCTTCAGAGACTCAACAGCAGTCTGGACATCACAGCTGCAACCTCAACAAGATCCCTATTTCTTCATTTTCTCTTCCACACCGATGGGAGGAAGGATGGGAGAAGTCAACTTCAACAGAGAAGAATGAAAGCCCTGTTTTGGTGCCAGAAAGAGGCAGCAAGGCTAGAGTTTTGATGCAGAGGTCTTTCCTCCAGGACTACAGACTAGCAGCACAGACCAGGAAAGATGGACCAGGAAGTATTTGTAACACAGACTTAGGTGTGAAGGCCCTGTCCTAACAAGACACTAATTCTTTTCAACACAGGTCAATGAGTGGAATGCCTTTAAGTTAGCTTACTGTGCTGTCAAGTTGACTTATAGTGACCCTATGAACAAGAGTTTAAGTCAGCTAGTGAGTAAAACAACTCAAAAGCCTTTAGACTGTCACTAGCAAGTGCAGTGGCTGGCATGGGAGATGGGAATCCCTCCTCCCCTGGCTCAGGACAAAGGATTGAAAGCTTTCTTACTTGTTGTCATTGTTCATATTATCCATTTGCTGTTGGTACTGTCCATTCATTCTGCTTTCTTTGCTAGAAGAAATTAACAACAAAACTCAGTGTCACTAGAGTAACTCGTCAAAGAGAAGAATAAAAGTAACAGCACTCGATAAGGGCTGAGGTACACATCACACACGATTTCTAACGCTTCCAACTTTCACTTCACCCCAAAGCAGAGGACACTGATGCTCAGAACAGCTAAAAGGGTGACAGAGGGCAGGCCTGGTTGCAGTCTCAGAGCTAAACCACCCAGAGGGAAGAGTCCATTTTCTGGAAAGACACCTTGAGCAAGCCTTGGAGGGTTCTAAAGATGTTTTGTAATAGGACTGCAGCTGGACATGTAGGTGGCACATGTTTTCTTCCTCGTAAACCTGATGAGTCAATTTTTAAAGTACAAATTAATTCTTATTTTAACAATCAACCTGCTCAGAAAGAACATTACTATATATTGGTTTTACTACCTGTGACTGAGTCTGCCCTGGCTCACAATGTCGTCGTGCCCCCCCCCCCCCCCCGATGCTGGCCTGGGTGCAGAACCCTGCTCCACTGAGAGCAGACCCTGAGGCTGGCTTCTGAGGCCTGTGTGTGGACCCACTGTTACCGTGAGCTGACAGGATTCCTGTCTCAGTGTGTTCTGCTGTGGTTTGGTAACCTGCAGAATGTTATGATGCTGGAAACTAAGCCATAATATGTCAGAAACCATTAGAAGCCCCTGGACGAATGAAATCTAGGGTAAGCTGATTCACTTCCCCAGACACAGCTCCATGATATCAGCATACAGACGTACTTGACAGTGTTCCGCTTGTCCGCCAGCTGGCCCCTCCTCAAAACAGCTCACCAAGACAGGTGACAGCAGGAAGATGGTATAATGAATGAGGCACTCTTGGGTTTGATGGGTCAGTCATTCTGGAGGGGGCATTTGCCCTCTAACGTCCACTGCTGTTAGGTGCTGCTGAGCTGGCTTCAAAGAAATGAAACCCTGGCTGCCCTGCCCATCCTCACAACTGCTGCTACGCCTTAGCCCTGTGGCAGCTCCCACACTAGCCCATCTTATTTGCCTCTTCTGTGAAGATCCTCTACTCCACCAAGCACGCTTCCTCTCAGCAGGGACTGGCCCCTTCAGACAACATGCCTGAAGGATGTATAGTCTTACCATCCTGGCTTCTTTCACGCATTCTGGTTACACTTCTTTCAACACAGATTTGTTCTTTTTATAGTCCACAGGATATTCAATATTCTTCACTAATACCACCATTCAAAGGAATCAATTCTTTTGTGGTTTTTCTTATCCAATGTTCAACTTTTCACAACTGAAAACTGTAACTGTCAGGTGCACCTTTGTCTTTAAAATGACACTACTCTTCAGCACTCTGGAGAGGTCTTGTCAGCAGAGCTGTCCAATGCAATGTGTCTTTTGCTTTCTTGACTGCTACTCCCATGAGTGTGGATACTGTATTCAAGAAAAATGAAATCACTGGAAACTTCAATTTCTTTCTGGTTCATCAAAATGTCACTTACCAGTCAGCTCCAAGAATTCTTTACTTGATGCTTAGGGGCAAACCATTTTGAAAAAGCTATAAACTTTGAGCTTTTTCTGTAACTGCTTCAAAGCCTCTTCTCTCTCAGCAAGCAAAGGTGGGTCACTAGTAGTGCAGATGGCCAACAAGCACATGAAGAAATGTTCAAAATCCCCAACTCTAAGAGAGCTGCAAATTAAAATAACTATGACATATCATCTAAGAACTCCAAACAATAAAATGCTGATGGAGGGTTATATTTCCTAATTTTTCTGTAACCTGACAAGTTCTGGCTATGGAATGGGAACAAATATAGATCTTTTCCAGTCACTTGACCCAGCTGTGTTTCCTGACCCCTCACTCCGTTGCATTGGTTTGGAATTGGGAAGAGAGTGAAGACCTTCAATGAGATGGATCAATTCTGTGACTGGAGCGGTGGGAACCTCCTGTCCTATCCTTATCTGACTTCTAGGGCAGAGAAGAGGAAGACCTTCAACCAGGTGAATTGACACAGTGCTGCCAACTAAAAGGCATGCAGTTTGGATCCTCCAGCTTCTCCGCTAGGAGAACAAACAAGTTCGTCCTGGAGAAGGTGAAGCCACAATCCTTTTAATTTAAAACAATCTACTTACTGAAGTAGAAAACCAAAAAACAATTATCTCACCCCAGTAAGAATAGCAAAATTTAACAGAAGAGCAAACAGCAAATGCTGGCAAGGTTGTGGAGAAACTGGAGCCCTTATTCAATGTTGGTGGGAGTGTAAAATGGTGCAACCACTGTGGAAAGCGGTGTGGTGCTTTCTCAGAAAGTTGCAAACTGAGATACCATTTGACCCAGCAATTCCACTACTGGGAATATACCCCAAAGAGACCATAACTGACATCCAAGCAGATGTATGCACACCCATGTTTATCGCAGCTTTATTCACAATAGCAAGGAGTTAGAAACAACCTAAGTGCCAATTAACAAACAAACGGATAGAGAAGCTGTGATATGTTCACACTAAGGAATACTATGCTGCATTGAAAAACAAATGCAATATTATTCAAAATGGGTAACTCTGGAGGACATTATGCTGAGCTGAGTGAAGTATCTCAGTCATAAAAGGACAAATACTGCATGGTACCACTGTTGTAAAACAGGACTGACCTTGGGGTTGGGGAGAGACTGAGAAAGATGGGTTCAATTATGTACACTGCATTGAAACAGATGAGGGAGAAAACTGTTTGGAAGGGGTATGTGATTAGGTATTTTTCTTATGACAGGAGTCTAGATTGAAGGCTACATGGTTGAGTGGACCTGGGGGAGGGTTTGTAAAACAATGAAAGAATTTTTCTTTTACTTTTCCGAGAGGATATTGTACTAGGGGGGAGGGTTGGGAGGGGAGAAAAGTGAACAATGAGTGAATGGAAATCCAAAGTCTCTGTGCATTTTTACTGAAATTAATAATAATTTTTTTAAAAGTGTTTCTATCTTGCCACATCCTCTTCAACATTTATTACTTGCTGTCTTGTTAAACTTTGCCACTACTACTGGGGTGAGATAGTATCTCATGGTGATTTTTATTTGCATCTCTCTTATTGCCAGTGATTTTTAGTATTTCTTCATGTATCTATTAGCCATCAGAATATCTTCCTCTGTGAAAATTCTTTGCATGTCTTTTGCCCATTTTGTAATTTTGTAATCAGTGTTTTTCTATAGAGAGGTCGTGTGGGATTCTGTTAACTTTTAATATGAGACCCTTATCTGAAATAGTATTGCCATATGTTTTTTTTTCCTCCAGTCAGCAGGTTCTCTTTTCGCTCTATTGAAAATATTTTTTATGTGCACAGGAATTTAATCTTTAGAAGGTCCCATTCATCAATTTTATCCTCTCCAGATTGTATGTTTCTGGCTGTGTTTGGCAGTCTCTTTATACCGTAGACTAGGCCAACTGAGCTTGATTTCCGTTTGTCTCTCTGATAAATATTATGGTTTTGGGCTTTACTCTCAGATCTCTGGTCCATCTTGAGTTGATTTCTTTTTAACAAAATTTTTATTTTATACTAATTTACTTACAAAGTTTGTAAACATTGCTTTTCACATGAGATCTTCCCCTTTCCTTTACCCATGCCAACCTCCATTGATCAGATTATGCAGCTCTACAATTAAGCCCTCCCTTCCTGCACATCCTAACTCATCTAGACCCCCTCCTTGAATCGTCATACATGTTCTACAATAATGGTTTTATAATATTTGTTCTTATGGAACTGAGTTAGTTCACTTTTCATAATGATCTCCAGTCCTTTCCAAGTTAGGTAATAATTTACAAATTCACTGCTTCTACATGCTGCATAGTATTCCATTATGTGAATGTACCATAATTTCTCAATTCATTCCATTTTGGTGGGACATTTGGACTGTTTCCATGTTCTTCCTGTCGTGAATAAGATTGCTATGAACACTGATCTACAAGTCTCCGTTTGTGCCTCAGTTCTCATTTTCTCAGGATATATTTCAAGCAATGAAATAGTTGGGTCATATGCAATTTCTCTGATCAGCTGATTTTTGTGTATGGTGTGAGATATGGATCCTGCTTCAGCTTTCTGCAGGTAGCAGTTTAGTGCTAGCACCATTTAGTAGAAGAGGTTGTCATTAGGTTTTATTTCCTTGTCAAATATCAGTTGACCATATAGATGGGTCCATTTCTGGATTCTCCTGTTCCATTATCTGTGTACCTTTTATTGTACCAGTTCCATGTTGTTTTCATTACTAGTGCTGTGTAGTAGATTTTGAGGTCAGGGAGTGCTATGTACTCCACTTCATTTTTGTTTTTCAAAAGTGCTTTGCTTGTTCTTTTTCCTCTAAAAATAAACTTGACAATTTCCCTTCCAATCTCCTTGAAAAATGAATACAGTATCTTTATAAGGATTGCTTTGAACATAGACTGCTTTTGGTAGGATTGTAGTTTTCACAATATTGAGTCTTCCTACCCATGAACAGGGGACATTTTTAATTTCCTTAGATCTTTTATTGTGTCTCATAGAAATGTTCTTTAGTTTTATTTCTACAGGTCTTTTGTTTTTCTAGTTAGATTCACTCCCAAGTATCTCAATTTGTGGTTGACTAAGGTTCAGAACTGCTGTAATAGGGTCACTACAGATTGCAGGCAACTCAATGGCACATAACAACAGCAACAATTATAAATGGTATTACTTTCTTGGTTTCCTTCTCTGAGTTCTCTTTGTTACTGTAGATGAATTCCACTGATTTTTGGATATTGATCTTGTATCACTCTGCTCAATTGGTCTTCTAGCTCTAACATTTTTTTTTGCTGTTGAGTCCTTGTGGTTTCCTGTATTCACTATCATATCATATGCATATAGCAACAGTTTAACCACCTCTTTGTCAATCTGGATGCCTTTTACTTCCTTCTCTTGTTGTATTGCCCTAGCAAGGGCTTCCAACACAATTTGAATAGAAGTGGTGACAGTGAGCATCCTTGTTTGGTCCATATTCACAAGGAAAATGCTTTTAGTCTTTCTCCATTGAGAATGATATTGGCTTTTGGTTTTGCATATATACTTTCACTGTGTTGAGGAAAATCCCTTATATTCCAGTTTTGCTGAGTGTCTTAATCAGGAAGGGGTGTTGGATTTTTGTCAAATGCCATTTCTGTATCAATTGCTAAAATCATATCGTTCTTGTTATTTGTTTTGTTAATGTGGTGAATTATGTTGTTTTTCTTACATTGAACCATCCTTCCATACCTCTTATGAATCCCCACTTCGTCATGATGAATTTTTTTTATATGCATTTGGATTCTGTTGGCTAGGATTTTGTTAAGGATTTCTGCACCTATATTAATGAGATATATTGTACTGTAGTTTTCTTTCTTGATAACATATCTTTGCCTGGTTTTGCTATTAGGGTTATGCTTGCTTCATAGGATGACTCTGAGAGTTTTCCCTTTTCTATTTTTAAAAATAATTTAAAAATAATTGATAATAGGTCTTCTCTGAATGTTTGGTAGAATTCCGCTGTGAAGTTATCTGGCCTAGGACTTTTCTTATGGGGAAGTCTTTTCCTTACCTATTCAATTTCTTTCTTTTGTGATGGGTCTGTTCAAGTGTTCTACATCTGTCTTTGTCAAGTTGGGTAGAGGTCTCTTGTGATTTTAGTGTGTTAATGTTATTTATAGTGTTTTGTTCTATTCTTTCCTTTGATTCTGTTGTGATATTGTTTTTTTACTATGTGCCATCAAGTCACCTGCAATTCATAGTGACCTTTTGTACAATAGTTCTGAACCCCATCTTATCACTGCCAGTCTCACTGTCTCCAACACACCTAAACCTATTACCACAGTTATGGTATCAATCCATCTTATCCAAGGTCTTTCTCTTTTGCTCTGTTCCTCCATCTTTCAAAGCATAATGTCCTTTTCCAAGGACTAACCCCCTCTGGCAATAGGCCCAAAGTATGTGAGACAGAGTTTCAAAATTCTTGCCTCCAAGGAGCAACTTTGTTTCAACTTCTCAAGGATAAACCGGTTTGTTCTTTTGGCCATGCATGGAATGTTCAATACTCTTCTCAAGCAGCACAACAGAAAGGCATCAATCCCTCTTCTGTTGTTCTTAATCATTGCCCAGTTCTTTGATGCATTAACAAGTACAAAGACC